CGCGCTTATGGTATAGTACTATAGTGTAACAGAAAAAACTACATTTAGGTATATACATGTTGCACCTACAAGTAAGTACAGACATGTTAAATTTCATGTTTTCACTGACCTGTTTTCATGAAACTTTTCAAAAAATTTGAAACTTTTGATTTAACAATTTTATATACCGTTAATTTATTTTGTATATGATTCAATAGCTTTTTTTACACATCTAAATAATATTATCAAATTATTTGAAAGTGATTTATATAATGCAATTATTAGATGCTGGCCATCTTAATTGCATTTAAATGGTAATCATTGAATACTAATAATAATTATATTGAAGCAGTGTTTAATTATTTATTTTCCTAGTAATTTATCAATTGTCCAATAGAAACTAATATTAACTTTTATGACTTATACTAAAAATAATAACAAACCTAATAAATTTACCTAATAAATAATAATATTATTAAGATACTAAAAGTATTTAAAAAAGCTATTGGAAACATGATCTATGTCTACTATATCATATCAATTACTTAGTTTTGACATCTATAGTGGTTGTTATGATTTAGTAATAGAGTCAGATAAAATATCAACTTTTTTTAACAGGTACCTATACAATAATGTATGGTTGTAAAGTGTAAATTTAAGATATAAATACCTTCCAAAATATTAAACATCACAAATACCAAGTTCACAAAACATTGGCAATTTAATTTTAATAGGTAGTTAACAATTTTACAGACTTATGTAACAATTATGACTCACAATTATGAAATTAAATTTTTGATATTGAAAAGTTTCATTTGAAAATTTCTGAAACTTTTCAGCCTTACATCTCTGGGTAAGTACCGTACAAGTTTTGCAATTTATTTTTATGAAAATGTCTGTAACAAATGTTATTATTTTTGTTGTTCCGTTTAGAGATAATAAGTGCACTCTTATAAAATGTTCACAAACTTATTTTTCGTTCGATTAATACCTAAAAATTTCTTTAATTAAGTAGGTACATATAATAATATTATGTTTAAATCCCCCTTGGAAATCATATTTTGTCAGACTGTTGAGAAGGTTTTTGGACTGTGTCACTAAGAAGGACACGTTTTATTTTTCTGTCATGCAATAACACGAGTTTGGAGATTGAAAATAAATTCTATTTCTGATTTTTCGAGTATATTTTAATAAAATTAGGGTTTTTAACTTATTATTTATTTAATTTGACGCGCACCCATAACAACGAGGTATTAATTTTGCATTTCTTATAGCAACCCGATAAGTTTATTTATTGAATAAAGGCCATTAATCTGCAATTTCTCTGTAAAAAATATTTGAGTTTTTGCCACTATAGCTGCAAGTATATACTTACAACCGTTTTTTGAAAATATGGAAGCACGAACTACCGAGTTTCAAAAAATTATAAGTGCCAAGAAAATGGCGAACAAAATGAAAGAAAATATAGTCAAATCGACCATGAAACTATATCGTCAAAAAAGTATAATATTTTATAATATACCTGCAATTTAATATTATACATCATATCCACATTATATTACAACGTAATTAAATCGGAAATCGTTATCATCTGTAAACCTATATTGAAATATGATAATATTATAGGCATAATAATTGAGGCACGGATGTTGTTGTATTTGCAATATTTTTCTTCTAGTGTTCCAATTTATTACTAAGTAACTTCTACTAAGTCTCAAAATTGTAAGTGCAATTTTTGGAATTGTATTGGAATTTTTTTGAATTTATTCATTGAAATAAAACAATTTTAACAATTTTAACAATTTTGTTCACTCGTGAAGTTTACTATGGTTTTTACTTATTGACTCTAAATATTCCAATTTAAAACAAACACTTATAATATATAGTATAATATACTCTATTGATAAAAATAATAATTATAAATTAATAACATTGACGATAATTGGTATTATTATTACCTATTTCACCCGTTGTTACTTTTCGGTGCAAATTTTAATTTTATAAGTGGAATTTTAGAAATTTTTTTAATGATGCAATTGTACAATAAATTTTATAGTTTTTTACTTCTACAACGTCCATGCTCTAAATATATTATATTGTCTATACTGCTGTACCCCTATACAAGGTGTAACGGAAAGATCTGAAAACAATTTATGCTATACTCTTTTCAGAATAAGAAGGAACCAGGCGGCCACGGACAAAACCGGTTTTGTTACGTAAATCTGGTGCGTTCTTATTCTGAAAAGAGTATAGTTAAACGTATGAAAAAAAATTACATGGATAATAAATAATTTAAGAAATATGTATTGGCTCTCACGTCATACCAAAAAATAATATTTTGAACAAAGTTTATACGTTTTAAATGAATTCAGTCCCAAAAAATATTGATATTTTAAAAAAATTCTAAAAAAACAAACTACCTACTTGACTTTGATAAATATGTTTACCATAAAAAATGTTCTCGTAATAAGATTTGCAAATTGGCACAAAATAAACGTGCCGCGAGTGTTTATAAATTATAATATAATATATAAAACAAAAAATTAATAATATTATAGCAAAAGTTATTGCATTAGTCAGTTATAACTTATAATTCTGCGTATTGGCATTTGTCTTACGCAGTATTTTTTATTTCATATATTTTTTTCTAGGTTCACCGTATAAATTGGTCCGGAACAAACCGGTGAAGGATGTTGAGATGTCGAACTCGACCTTCAGCCAACCGTTGGTGGTAAGATTTGGGCCCATTTCGCCGAAACCCATTTCGCCGAATCCCGTCTCGCCGAAAACCCATCTTGCCGAAACCTATCTCGCCGAAACCCATCTCGCCGAAACCCATCTCGCCGAAGCATAGTAAAATAGAATTTTGTTTCGTTATAATATTATTTTAAAATATATTATATATAGTCAAATAAAATGGTGAAATAATAAAAATAAATGAAATAATTACATTATAGTAAAAATAATTAATATTTAGTAAAAATATATAAAAACATTTGTCAAAAATGTATAGTCAAATAAAATCGTGATATAATAAAAATAAATGAAATAATAATTACGTTATAGTAAAAATATATAAAAAAATTAATTGTCAAAAATGTATAGTAGAAATTAGTAAAAATAATTAATATTTAGTAAAAATATATAAAAACATTAATTGTCAAAAATGTGCGGGGCCCCACGCATGGTGGCTTGTGCGGGCTTGTTACGAATATTACTTTATCTATAAATAAACATAATAATATTGTCCCCGTAGCAGTAATACGGATATCGCGACCCTTGTTGTTTTCTTAGGAAACTGTTATTTATCGACGAATACCAATTAGAATAAGTATGTGTACTATGTCAATATTTTAATATCTTACCTTGATTGAGGGGTGGAAATCCAAAACGTACTATTGCCAAAATTGGCAAAAACGAGTTAGATACCGATTCTTATAAAAAAAACGCCGACAAATCGATTGGTGTTGTCAGAATAGACCAAAACGTACTATTTCCAGGTCAAATCAGCTGTTAAAAATTACTGCTTAATCCAAAACGAACCTTTTCCGTGCATAAAAATTATATTTAGATAATCAAAACGTACTTTTTCCAGTTTTACAACAAAACGTACTATTGCCAATGTTAAAATACTAGGCACCAATCATTAACTATACCAAAACGAACTATTTTCGTAAATTATTCCAAAACGTACTTTTTTTTATGTTATGTCAAAACGTACTACTGCCCGTATTGTAGGTATAGCGAAATAAAATAGTTAATCCAAAACGTACTAAAATATAATTTATAATTTATAATATTCACAATCATTAAGTTTGAAATTAAATTAAAAATATAATCCTAGATTATTAAACACATTTGAGTCGTTTTTAATAGAAATAATATATTATTAAATAATTTAAAAAATCTTCCTTGTCTTCAAAATTACTTTTTTATTTATAAACGGTTTGTTCATATTGAAACAATAAATAAGAAATTAATAATATTTTTATTTTGGAAAAAGCACATTTTGGAGTATATTTTAATATTTTATTAGGTTTTCCAAAATGAACTATTTCCATTAAATTTTCCAAAATGTACTATTTCCATTAAATTAATGGAAAAGGTATACGTTTTGGATTATTTTACATTTTTATATGACAAAAAAATATGTAGTTGTAGAATCATTAAAGTCATTCTATCTAAATTTTAAAAACAATACTGATAGGTAATATTATTTTCACAGGCAATTTAAAAAAGTCCCTAAAAATAAAATAAATGTGTATATTGTATAATAATTAATAAATTAACATATACAGCCATTGGCCATATGGGGCCCCGCGAAATTCTGCACCGGGCCCCGAAAACCATCGGCCCGTCACTGGTTTAACGCGCACAATTTATATTAATTGTTTTCGCCTATGGAAAATTATATACAAATACATCCGATGAATGGCGATCGAAGGGCAGTCTGCGGTGTCGTTATATGATGGAAGACACCATATTATACATGTATACCAGACACCCATAGCAGCTACCTATATATTAGATACGCACGTGTATATACATATATGAGTTATACCGCGTGTAATTACTGGTAATATATTTAGGTATCAAATTATATTTTTTGATGGTTATACAACCGAAATTAAAACGGAATCGACTCTAAATACGTTTTATGATTTATAGCGATTTAGTATTTACATTGAAATCAACATTTTTCTCTCTTCACGGAAGTCCCTCGGGCTTACGAAATGTGTTCGACACGACCGACCACAGGTCTTCCGCAGTGTGACTTGCACCAAAAAATTCACGAATTTTTTTTTTTTATTAAAAACGGCGTCGATCTCAGTCGTAGTTAAGTCAACTGAGTACCGTATTGCGTGGACTCGGCCGGCAGCGTTCGACGTAAAATAATATAAAAATAGGTGGGCAAGTGGGTATCGCTCTGCTGTACAGTAGGTTACAAGTGGGTCACTGTATAATGGATGGTATTAAATTTGAATTCAATGATATAATATCATTGTATAAGAAAAACGATTCTGAGCGGTGACGGTATGTCAGTCTATGTATAAGACATATTATATACATATCTATGGTATTAAGGGGCCTGCACGCGACCTGTTTTTTTGCTCAAAAACATGCTGTTACATGCGGCCCTTCAGGGATCCAAAAGCTGGTGTACTTGATAAATAATAATAGTCAATTAGAATGGTAATCAAATGTATTATATTAAACCAGACAAAACAAGCAGAATAATAGTGTTGATTGTAGTGAATTTGTAGCTCGTTCCGAAGTTGATAATCTCCGTGTAAGTCGTGTGTGATGGCTGGGCGGCTAAGCGAGACGTGTGGTGTTCTCGTCTCTGGATACATCTAACTCAGGCTGTCTCGCTGTCCCCTATATATATGGTGGCGGCGTCCTTTGAAAGTGAGCGGCGCGTGTACAGTCGTCCTTGATATGGACCTCACGATTATGAAAGTGGTATTCGTAGTCGAAAACACTTTGGGTGTGGTCGCATTCCTGGTTGTTATTATGAGCAAAATATATGGTATTGCGTAATCCCATTACACCTCCCTACCAAAAAAAAGATTGTTAACCTTTAAGGGTTAAGAATCTTTAACATCGTTAATTAATAGTTTACAATGGCTGAATTACATTGTTTACATTGACATTTTAAATTTTGTATGCAGTTAACAATTTGATTATAGTATTACATTTGATTACAATAACGTGAGCATTTTACAATTTAAATGTCATCATTATTATTATTATTGTTTACAATTTTAATTGTGGTTAGTAAAATAAATTAATACATGATTTACTTAAACAATAGTGTTAATAAAATGATTAATAATCTTTAACAAAATAATATAGATACCTGAAATTACAACATTATAAGCGTTACGTAAGTATACAATTTAAGTATTTCCCCTTTTTATATAATAATAATATTTATCTTCCACCTATATACTAATTTATGTGAATAATTGTTAAATTTGTCACAGACATATGCAACTATGGTTCTATTCAAGGTAATTCATCATGTAAGTTGGATCTCTAGTGTTTTCTATTATTTTTACTAATTGTTTGCATTCTCCATTACAATGATTATCTATGAAAAGTTCAAGGCTTCTAGTTATTTTATTTAAAGTTTTATGATTGTAGTGGTTATTTATTTTCTTGTTTGCCTTTAATATATGCCAATTAAAGCATACGGATTGTAACTTATTTTCTTTAACGTTATAAATATGTACTTCTGTTTTTAAAATTGTTTTTAGCTCCTCAATGAATCTAAAATATATAATAAATGTTAATTTATGTATTTGTTTTCATTAATTTATTTTGTGTTACATTTATTTATTAACTAATAATTATTATTTATTTTGCCTTAAAATTCCTTTTATATTTTTTTGCTAATTTATATAATTTAATAGGCTTTATCTTTGTTACTATGTAATTGAATAGGCATTTCGTTAAAATTACGTCTGCAACTGGATCGTGACAATGTGTAATATTATGATTAATATCGCATGCTAGTTCATGAGCCTCTGATAGTCCTAACATTCTACCATTTTTATTTAATTTACCTAAATAACCTGAATATAAAACTTCCTTAGTCTCTAGGTTTGATAATTCTAATACAAATTCGTCATTATTCCTAACGCTAATTGCCGATATATTTAAATATGCTAAAATTCCTGTTAATCTTAAACGCTTAATTATCGTGATATCTGACGTTCCGTTCCAAAATACTATTAGCGGCTCCCTATCGTTTATATGCAAATATCTTTGCAAGTATACCGTAGACAAGGTTGATCCCCCCTGGCGACTTATACTGTTGTACAACTGTTCCAGCAATGGTTCAATCACTCTTGCCTTTTTCCCTCGGAATACTCGTTTGATATTCTGCACTGTTTTCTTTAGGTCGCATCGGCGGAATCTTCTTAACTTATCATCCTTTGTAAGTATAAGAGGACTCCCCTCCAATTTCTTGGGTTGGTATTTTTCTAAACTATTCGATATCGCGCCGGATACCAGTATCGTTTCGTTCTTACTGACGGTAAAGAACTCGAAATCCATTATAAAAAAGCGTACCTGTGAGCTAAAATAAAATAATTATTTTTTTTATAAAAAAAAACTTAAATTGGTTTTTTAGTATTTATTGCTATGTATATGATATATGATATATGTTACATGATATATGATATTTGATATATGATATATGTTTCCTGAGGTTATTCTTCGAAAATCGTTTCAATTATGTCGCGTCTTCGGATTAGTTGTTCTATAAGTAAACCCAACTCTACACACATTGGTCGATTATGATTTGGTCTTAAGATAACTGTGCGTACAAAATCATTAACATGGATCATGACCCGTGCTAAGAAATTCGGCCTGAAAGGTATGGTCATATTACTATTTGCCCTTCTTATATGTTCTGGGAAGCAATGTAATCTGATCACTTCCCCTCGCATTATTTGTGTATGATTGGTTGATTCAATTAATTCGTTTTTTAACTCTCTGAGAAATTCAAATGTTTGTAGTTGCATTCGAACGGTTCGTGCTACAGGTGGTATGTTCTCACCCATTTTGTACTTAAAATTTTTACGTTTGTTTTTATATATATTTTTTTGTTTTCTTCTTAATTTCTGAAATAGTTAAAAGTTATTGTTATATAAGTATTATTTAAAATATTATTTACGTATATGTATATATTATTATATTTTTTATGCACGTAATATTATTTTATTTAAATTATAGAATATTATTTTACGTATTATTTCTTTATGCACGTATTATATTTTATTATTATTTTTATTTATATTTTTTTTGTTTAATTTATTTATCGAATATGTTCTTCACTGTAAATTT